TTTAAATTTAGCTTAAATAAACAGTAGTTCATGCATTTTTTTGCATGATTATTTTAACTTAATCCAGTGACCTTGGAGTAAAAATTGATGGTCAAAAGTTTGTGTACATTGTGAAATTTCATGATTATCACTTGTTATATCATTGTTATATACTGATTCTAAGGTGTGATATCGGCAATTACGACTACTAGATTTTATAAAATCATAGTTTAGACTGAAGAATAGTAGACTTAGTAATCTACAATTTGAAACACACATTTTTTCCATAACTTGAACGAATTTATCAATCTATGCTAAAAAATATCAAAGAGTTTATATTTTTAAGATTCATAAACAAGTGATTACATGTTAACAAAGAGAAAAAATATTCGTAAGATAAATATCAATGTAATACATTATTTAAAAGTATAATTGCATGTAATCAGTAAATAACATATTTTTTCATATTTATGTGGCATCCTTGTTTTATTAACATGTTAACTGTAAACACATCTGCCGACATTTTTGTTAGATAGTAAGATAGAGTACATCTCATTTGATAAAATTTATTGAACAATAAATTAAACAAACTGAAGTATAAATTTGTTTCTTATAATTTTGGATTTTGGATATAGTCTTTTATCTCAATACAATTCTTTTGCTACAAAACTATTCGTGAGAGGCGGCAGGATATATGAAAATAATGATTTTGATAGTTATTTGATCAAGCATTTTTTTCTATATCTAATAAGCAAAAATGAAACATAAAATCTTGATGATTTTTCCAATGCAAACAAAAGTTCTTCATGAGTAGCTATTAGTGAGATGAGTATGAGGTGTTCATGCATAACTTTAAGCTTATGAGCACTAAACTTTGAGCCAACAACAAAAATATTTGTTAAAGATATAAATATATATTTATTGTTAAACTTGTATGCAATTATTGAATGATATCAGTTCAAAATGTCTCAAAAATACTATAATTATCATTTTTACTTTTCATTTCAAAATTTTTTTTATCAAAGATGAAGGCCATATTTTATTGTGTTTTAACTACATGTATTTATAAAGATTCATGAGATTGTTTTCAAACAATCTGCTTGATCTCAATGCTTTGTTTTAATAAAACAGTCGGATTCTGATGTGGGTGTGTATTTAAAGGGTAATCCACTTCTATCTCTTGCGGTCATCGCAAACTGTGGCTATACATCAGTCTACTTAACAGGGTCTTCTTGGTTTTAGTCTCTTTTAAAGCCAAGCGGCACGCAACAATCTAAACTCGCCGCGGGCGGCTCTGGCAGACCCCAGTCCCCTGTGCTCATTGACCTAAGACTTTATCAACTTCATTATTTTGAGAGATATAGCATATCACACCTTGGTATAGATAGTGAAGTGAAAAGAAGTACTCATTCACCTAATCTGGTCTTAAAGATTGTCTGCTAAACTCAAAGTATAGATACATGTAAATTCTACCGCAGTAGTCCAGGTTTAATGTGTGGGTCGTATAGTACAAAAGTAGACTGAAACTTCAGATCAGTAAGTCTTATTTCAAAAGAGAAGGAACTTGAAAATAGGGGTTTTGTGCAGTGCAGCGCCCTTGCTTCCTGACTTTCGCGAATTCCACGAAATGTCCAACACGGTCAGAAAGAATGACTAATCATCAGGAGCCTCCCTTAAACTGTATAACAACATCGGTGAAAGGCGATGAAAAAGGCAATTCTCACCTAAGTTCAAGGCAGGTCTAAACCTAGCTAAGGTTTGGCCCCAAATAAATGACTTCTTAGCTTCCCGAAATTCCCCCCTGCTCTTGCTTTAGTCACTCTTGCCAACCTAGTAATATCTAGGTCATTGTTAAGGTACTAGAGTCCTGTAATCCCATTAAACCGACCACAAAAGAAGCTTCAACGATAACCCAAGATACAAACAGTCATCGAAGTACCTGAATTCCCTCGAATTGGTGGCTACTGGTAGAAGAAACTTCAAAAATTGTTTAATATCTTAGTATGTTCTTCCGGACACTACTGTTGGAGTCGATAAATACATAGGATAATTGAAGCTGCTTCAAAGAAATGGAAACACTACAAATCCTCACATCTCAGTTGAATACTGCTGTGAACTAGGTAAAGCGTTAGATCAATAAGAATTTGAAGAGCCTGCATACTTGCTTATTGTAACGGTGAAGTACTGGACCTGTTGTATATACTCTCCTGACCTACTGCATTCAAAATATCAAGTTTGTCGTTGTGTGAGTGGGTGAATCCTATATCCTATTCATGATCAGTGGTTTCCTTATATCAAAATGTCATCACCCATGCGCGTGTCCAACTATCGGTGCTTGAATTGATATCAGACCCATGTAAGGTTCTCTCGTGATGAATAGTCCCATCGCCTTGATCAACTTCAGCAGGTTGAGGCATATCATCCCCAGCTAATAGAGGTGCCAAAGTATGCGACTTGTTACGATGTCACTGCAGTGGTCCATGATACCTCAGATTCTTCTCCAGATGTGTTCCTGGAATAGACTGTATATATCTATTTTTAACCAGGGAATTATCAATTGCAATCCAGAATGAAACTGTTCGTGTGTCGTCCGTAACGGGCCAGTACGCAAGGTCCTGGTGCCAGTGAAACACTTCATCGGACTTACCAGAAGATTTGGCTAGAAGTTGATCGTAATCGAACTCCATGTCCGATCCCAATGGTTGCTCGGATATGGAAGCTGCTCTCTTCTCCTAAATATTTCCCTTCAGCCGCAGATTGCATATGGAAGGGAGCATTATGTTCACAATGGAGTAATCTTCCAGAGTCTTTGAATACTCTGCAGACACGACACAGAAATCTCCACCTTCGACTGCTACTTCTCGCCTTTAAAACTACAAGTATTCTCCTTCCAAATGTGCAATTCGTCTTCTGATAGTACGCCTTTGACATGCACATTTCAACACTGGCTTTCCAGCATTCAACTTCTTCGTTCGTGAGTTCGTACTGTACGAATCTCCTTTCCTCCGAACTGCCCCATCATCTGACATCTCTAGAGACTGAATACTATGGCCTATTCTTTCGGTGAAACAGCAAGACAATGCAAATTGTTCAATCTGGTTTGAAATCGTACCATTATCCAAATTGCAGCAGCAAAAGGGCAATGCAGCCAAATGAGTAAAGCATGTTCAGTCTTAAAGCCTGTTTCACGCAGCAGCCGAAGAGAGAAGAAAAGTGAGGAGAACAAGGAAGTGAGAAAACCAACACCGAAAGATGGAAACCAAACGAACTAATTGTGCAGGTTTTGAAGTTGGAAAATGAATGGCTGCCCCTAAGCCAGAGTTAACAGCACAATGGTGGTACTGACATGAGATGTAAAAAAGAGAAAGGGGAGAAAAATAAGGACAGTGGAAATTAGATGGAAACTTTCCATAAATTCTGATTCTGTTAAAAGAGAACAATCAAGATTCCAATAAGACAAAGATTGAAGATTGCAAGTAATATAGGTATTGCAGTGACATATAACATTCTATATCGAACTTTGTACGTTATTAATTCAAAGTTTTTAAACCAAGATATACTTATAGTTCCAAGTAACATTACAGTTACAAAAACTTGATTTTAAATTTATGTCACATTTCTATCCACTTGAATTGCAAAATTTGAAACTATTTTTTTTATACTTTTGTAATTTTTTGTGAATTCAGTTCACTTGTTCTTATCTCGAAAATTTATGTGTTCATAGATTTTATCTATTTATTTAATTTATTTTTATGAATTTTATTGCATTAAATTTTCATCTAGAAACTCTTCAATTTGATTTTAGTGATTTAGGAATTAGTTCTAAACTTCAAATCAGTTATTATGTAGTATATTGGATGGTATTTCAAATAATAATTCTACAAAAATCATGGTATGAATTTATTTCAACATTCATATGATCATAATATTCAAGATTATAATGATTGTGCTACTCATTGTAAACATATCGAGAACTCGCGTTGAATCTACCATGAAATTTCAACAATGAAATCACAATCATGCCTTTTAAACCTAATTTTTTTAAGACCAATTAATCATAAAATTATAATAAATACAATCTTGAAGAAAATTTTATTATAATAAAAAAGATATCAAAAAATATAAACGATTTTTTAATTCTTTGCTGATTTTATTACGTATATGATCAAAACAAAGATTTAGGGTTAGAAAGTGTTTAGCATGAAGCATGAAAAAAGTACAAGTTCCACTTAATTCGTGATAAACATTACTATCCCCATTTGAATTTTATCATGTTATAAATGAGATCCCGACTAATGTATATCATAAATTTATAAAAATATTCACCAAGTTATAATGTTTCAACATCAATGTAATACTGTACTGCATAGAATTGAACGTGTCTGACGAACTATTGAAGAAAATAGTATAATCCTTAATGAATAAGATTTCATTTCACATTTCTTCAAGAACATTCTGTTTATTTAAACTATATTTATTCATCGTTCGTATAGCTAAATAGTTTGATATTTGTTTTATAACAATAAATATTTTGTAAGTAGCTTATGTGTCATAGTACATATATTTACAAAGAGTGTACGTTTTTATTTTTTCATTCTTAATAATATCAACTCGACATTGATCTTAAAAGACTTAAACTGTATTTCTATTCTTTTAGAATATCTGTCGTTATTAAGCAGATATAAAATTTACATGATTTCATTTTGCTGTAATCATTTTTTCGAATCTTTGTACGATCTCACTTCTATTTCATGAGTGGTCTCCAGTGTAATAATTGATATGACTCCGTATAATTCCTCCTTATCTATGAAGTGCTTAACGGTATTGATGGGCTTTGGATTACGAGGGACCAACAACTGAACTGTCATGTCACCTGATGTCTTCATTTGTCATTTGTATTCGCTCAGATATTTTCGGGATACTTTAGGGGAGGTCTAGCAGATTGAAGGAACGTAGAGGCGTTTTCTCCATATTATTTTGTGTCCCTGTCCAAAAGTCCCCTGGGCACCCAAAAGCTCATGGTGATTTCCATTTAGAACTGGAAATCTCTATTAATTTCTTCCCTGGATTAGAGATATTCAACATGCAATACTTCTTCCGTAACAGCACAAATAGTTTGGCGTTAATGAGATATATTGATACTCTTCACTTGCTTCTTTACAAGTGAATCGAACATACAGAAGCCATCGAACCCATGGGAGAGAACATCAAGGGAATTACCATCATAACGAGAAGCTATGCAGCATTTTCGAAGAGCACTCCACAGAAGTATTGCTTCTGGTCTGTGCGGCCTTAGACAGTATCCAACATGTATCTATACATGAACAAAAAATTCCCTCTTCACCTTTGACCTCAGCATCTTCTCGTGTAACAATCGTTAATCAATGACCAAGGGACATTTACACAGAGACCTATTCATGTTTGACCTTTTCCTTTCGCCCTTGAGCAGCTAGCTATACCTGCAACAAAGCCTTCGGTGTAAGCTGCGTTTTTAAACGCCACCTGTGCAAAAGAAGGAGAGAGTCAATTTCACGCCTTCCAATAATTTGGTCTTACGGACGTTTGCAGAACTGTACAGTTAGGCTAGAAATTGCATATCAGATTCGAAATTCAGCCCAACGCGTACAAAGCCATTTTAACACAAAGAAAAAACCTCTTTTGTTGTGGCCGCTTGGCTTACTCGCTCGTATAGTTAAACAGGATTCACTATCTTGATCAATTACAAACTAGAAGCAATGAGGTATGGTAACACTGTGGTTGAAGTTCCGGGATTAGGGTTGGTAGGTTAGTAGGGAGGGGTGCATGGTGATGTGGATGGAATTTCAACTCCGTTGAAATCCTTTTTAGTGACCAATATAATGTGAGTTCCCGGGATAAAGTGCGTTCATAAACAAGCGGCAAGACTATGACAAAACTTGAACGAGGTGCCTACACAGTAAGGACCGAGTTAGTAAAAACAATTGCTTCGCATAGAGAAGAGACATGCAACCTAATTGAAATGCTGCCGATGTTTGCAATTGGAAGCAAAAGCCAAATAGCTGCAGTATTTAGTTGAACAAACGCCATTAGGTTTCTGTCCTCTTTCGCATGTCAAGCAATCTATCGATGCTGGATAGAAAATCAGTTACTGAACCAGAATAATCATATATCGTTTTGTCGACCACAAGCGCTTGACATGCAAAGAGAAGATAAACCTCATGAAGCTACAACAGGAGAATATGACGATAGTTTCGAAATTCAAAGAACAACTGCAAAACCAACTGGAAGTGAGAATTAGCTTGACAGCACAATTTCGACCACAATAGCATATCATGCAAGGAAGAAACAAACAAACATTCAATGAAGAAGAAACCAGAAACCGTTGTGATGGTTACAAGAAGCCATAAACGAAATTGGAGTCGACATAAGGTGATAAATGTGTAGGCTTATACAAGCATCGAAAAGCTTGTTTGTAAGAAAGCATGCAGACCGCAATATAAGGAGACTTCAAGGAGGAGCCAATACTAACACCAGAAATACCACACGTATAAGTAACCAAGGGCATAAAAGCACCGAAACAGCGAATGATAGGAAAGGGACAGTTCCGAGAAAAACGGTGTACATGTTAAGAGAACGCCGAAGCGTAGAACGAAATCAACAACCACGGTAAATGTAACCAGGGATAGAACAAAAAAACTTAGTATCAAGAACGTCTATGGATCCTGGGTGAAGAGACGTAAAGGGAAAAAGCAAGGCGGAAGGAAACAGAAGGAAAGTCTGTAACTGAGCTAGATAATGTATAGGCAGAATAAGGGAGAAAAGCTATAGGGACAGGCCTTTACCTATTATTGATCCCTCGGTGACAGCTTAAGCAATTTATTAGGGTTTGGGGTCCATCTACAGGAGTACATCAAGGATAAGCTGGCAACTTTGCTGCACCAACTTAATGAGTAAATAAAAGTAGAACAACCTTAAGCAAAAGAACACAACTCACCAGCATGCTCTCTAGCTCAGGTACCAAACGTTGCCTCCAGGAATTTGACGTTACAGTGGCAACCTCCTCCCCCTGCTTCTCTACCACTTGAGAGGTAACCTGAAACTGAAACACCATTTAGTTACAAAAAAGTTTCCAGACTGACACTTTAGACCGACGCTACACTCCCTAGGGTCCAATCTCTCTTCCTATGAAGACCTGCCTGAAAGCAGTGTATTCATCGGATCAAGCTTCACATGAGATTTCTAGAGACTAGATTCAAGGTGGATGAAGGAGAAAGAGGACTACTTGGGAGTGAAATTATCAGTCTTGTGGGAAAATCCTCCCCATAGATAAAAATTACTTGATATTTCTAGATATCGACCGGGGGAACCCCTTACTCTATAGTCCAATTGAAATATTGATGTCCCCGCGACCAAAGCATTTGATATCACTGCATGAAAGGCTTTTCGCTGTACGTCTACTATGATGGCGCGTTAAATGACATCAGCACTCCATGATGCCTTTCCAATCCTCAGAAGGGTCGAATTGAAGAAAAACTGAACAATACGTTTCGGTCCTAAGATCCGACATCAAAGCAACTTCAAAGTTTCATCAATCTGTTTGTACCATTTCTAGACAAGATTCTCTCTGAGAGGCCCCAAGACACTCTTCGGAGAACTCAAGTCCCAGGTATGCAGGATCGAAACATGGATTGTCACTTGTCCGCGGTTTAACACGTGCCTCAGTCTGACCATCAAAGATCAATATAGAATATCTCTACACAATTGCCTCCATGCCTCCAAACATCACCCGATTTCGTTCTTGAGATCATATCTAGTATCTTTTTTCCTGTTTCTTCCCATCCAATGTCATCGGCATACATCAGAGCGTATAGACAAACACCTCACACGCATGGTCACAACAGTTTCCAGTAGTGGATTCACATATACTCGTGAGAAATCTCGGATAAGGAAATCAGATTTATGCTATTCCGTAATCGAGATCAGAGGATTCACTTGGTTGGCCAACAACCAAGACTGTGAAGTAGGTGTTGTGGTGTAAGCATGCGATGAACCATCCCACCAGACGGTGTAGCACGTCCTTTCCGGTGTAGGAAAATGCAATGGATAGGTTAGTCTGCCGTCTTCCTAACACATATTCATTGGCTCCAATTAAGAGTATGATCCATACCGCCTTTACAGCCTTCATCCTGCTCGTCCCTCCCGACGACAGCTTCTGTGAATTTAGAGTTCATGGTTTGACAGAAAAGTTTCTAGACTACACAGAGAACTTTGATACCTCTGTAGTTTGGACGCTAACCCTCCTAAAGTCCTTTCTGGACGATGTTAGCAATAAACCGTGACTTCTACCTGAGAAAACTGACTTCTTCCAAAACACGAGTAGATAACCCAAGGATTGTATTCAGAACGACATTGCAGTGAGAAGATAGAAATATACAAGTACAGCAATTCTGCATGGTAAGACAAATGCTTTGAAGTCATGAGATAAGGGATCGGAACTATTAATTATACAGGGGATAAATAGAAAAGAGGCTGCCACCTCTTTTTGGACGGCAGATAAGAACTCATCAAGAATGGACTTGGTCGTCGCTTGTACGTCGGCGCCAGCTGGCTTCACAAATTCCATTTGTGGAGCGGTCGGGCTAGCTTTCGATTTTGGTTTTACCACTGGCAAGGGTAACCTCATATTATTAGAAGATGTAACCTCAAAAAAGGAAGAGTTTCTCAACATCTTCAAACCCTCATACTCTTTGTATCAGCCAGATCTTTACCTGCCTACGTGGACTTTTTTTCTAAAGCCTGGTCCTCAAAATACAACCTGTACGTGATGAAATAGATCAAACTGCGAATTTTCTAGACAAACTCACCAGATTTAGTTACATCATCATTCATTCCTTGTATAAGAACTGGCAGACTTGCTTGCACGGCACGCGTCTCGATAGTGGCTTGATCCTTAGTGATACATTCTGTTGACATATCAACAAGATAGCTGGCAAGATCTGGTTGTTGTTCCTTGCTAACCACTACGATTGCCTGCGGTGGTCAAGTACAGGATTCAGTACAAACATACAAGGAAAAATCTGAGTCATCCAGACTCCTTGCTTTTCACTTCACATCCTGCCCTCGTGTTTTTCGCTGATTAAATAATTGTGCGGAAACATACCTCGAGATCAACATAAACAGGCTCCCGTCCTATTAGTCTTAAAAATTTGTCGAGCCCACTTGGTGAAACAGCTGCGAAAAATTTCAAACGCCGTCTCCTTAGTTTCGGAAATTCAGGGATCAGCTTTGGTGTTCAAATTCAGTAAGTAGACTCAGTCAACAAGCATGGCATGAACACCAGATTACGTACCAGTAGTTGCGTCGTTTGATAGAGGGTGGAAAAACACTTTTGATTTCATTCTAAACCCTTCATCCAATAGAAGTGTGACAGACCTTCACAAACTCACGCTTTAGGAAGTAATATATATGCATTTGAATTTTGGAATTATCGACCCAAGATTGCTCTTATGTTCTACATCCCAGAGTTGGACTGAACAGTTTGAGTGTTTATTGAATCAAAAGCTCTAACTGAACATGTGGCAAGATTTGAAAACCTATCATTTCTTAACCGCAAGAGATACAATCAACACACAACACATCGTACATTCCTAACAATATACTTTCAACAGCATTGGTGGTGTATCACCATCACTAACAATACAAATTGCATGGAGAGATGGGTACGCAAATTAAGAACCGCATACCTACGTAGGTCTTCAGTGAGCAAAACATGTCAACGTAAGCTCAGCATTGTATAAATTGCTAACTAAATAAAAGCTTGATCACTTTGTACACATTGCACATAATGCTTTTGAATATATAGTGTTAAGTGATACTAACCACTGTTACCTCATATACACACCGGTTTCTTCTAACTCGCCCAAAACTAGCCGACTTAGGAGAGGCTGAATATATTCAAGGCATAACCTAATTGCTTAGAAATGATAGAGGGCATGTACAGCAGGATTTAGTTCGTATGGGACAAAGAAGTTGGATTCGGAATTCAGGTATACCTGGCAGAGTCGTTCTGAAGAGCGAAGGGAGTAACACATCCGAGAGGAACCTACTATCAACGTAAATTAAAAAATACCTGTTCTCATCAGTTATTGCCTGTTATATCTTGAGGCCACAGGCCTCGAGGCCTGGCTAAGAGGTGCTATTGGTAGGAGGCAATGAAGAAGTAGATGAAGTTTAAAAGAAAACTGAACAATTGTGACAAATAAATATCAGCTCTAAAAAACTGCCCACAAAAGCTACAGATAGTTTGAGATGAGAGCACAAAAGAAGCTGGGACTCACGCTATCACATTTTGAACGTACAACATTCAGGTTGCAGTGTAAAAAATATACAGGGAAAACCAACTGCACAGAAGTATTCTAGGAAGAACACTTACCTTCAAACTTGCTTGCATGATGTCTTCTGGTGCCATACGCAGGCCACTCTTTCCTAATCCAAGTCGCTGCGATAGCACTGCTTCAAAATATAAACCGTAAGTTTTAAATGACGCTTGCAGAAATTCAAGACAACAGAAGCACGAGAACATGAAGAGACATGAAAAGCACCTGCAATATCGTTCATCTTGCATAGATTAACAGCTTTCTTGACATGGGACCTGTCTACTACTCTTCAAGACTCAGCAGGTTGATAACGAAGGAATATATGGAAAACGTAGGTAAGACATGCCTTTCAAATCAATCTTTGCTGAAGTCAGGGCTGATATTAAGATGAGCCTGTTCTTCTTGTCCTACACAACGACAGTCCCACCATCAGACATGAACAAATTAGACTTCGCAACGAACGGTCAACCAGAATTAATGGCAACAGAAGATCGATAACGGTGTCAGTATACCATAAAAGAGCATTGGTGGTAAACTGAGAAGGAAAACAACAAAAATTTAACTTATGTAAAAGATAACGAAGAAAATGCACTCTGCACGAACTCAAGGCCTATTTTGACCGCTGTGGTGAAGCAAGGCTTGCAAGAAGACGATATTTATCAACTCATGTATAAACAGCTTTCTGAAAGACAGCTAATAACTTATAGATCTCCCATATAACAGCAAAAGTAAAGGCCACCTTTAATAGAAGATTTTTGCTGTGTCCTCCTTCCAGATGCCCAACATAATTGGCCTACAAATAAAGAGGAGCATTAGCTCAAAGATGAATAAACTAATCGGCAAGTATCGTCATCCATTCTCTGTAATTACGTGAAGTAGAAAGGGCTGATGTCTTCAGCCATCGCGCGCTCATAGAACTTCTGTCAAACGTCAAAAGGGAAATGATAGCATATATTGCACCAGCCTTACCTGGAATTGCGAGCGTAATAATTCAAGGCTTTCTACGAGTCTAAACAAAATGGTAATTAGAACCAATGAGCGCACTTTAACACAAGAGAACGACCGTATGAAAGGTTTGACAGCAAGTACAGTAGAATGTCCTCAACAGTCATTCAGATATCCAGATATATAACTCTACTTTATAAACCTGTTCCCTCTCATATGTTGAGAATAGCTATACCCTCAATATAAACTTCGAAAGTCAGAAGTCCTCCTGAGTCACAAGTACATTTCCAAAGATGTAGCTCTGAGGAAATTGATTTTTAAGACTCGGGAGACTTCCTGCAACTATAAATGAACAGATGATGCAAATAAAATATATGCAAATAGATGCAATCAAAATTATCATTGTAATGCTCGTTTATTATATTAGTGATTGTCATACTGAGTGAACAGGAAAATATACTACAAATTTAAAACTATCAATGCAATATGTACGATATAATTTCAAAGTTGGGAGCAGTTCGCTAGCAGACAATGGTCAGCCACCGATTGCATATACCCGTTCCAGTTAAGGTACACGTCGGGACCTGCAACAATTGCAGAAAACACAAACAAATACGCGTTCTTTGCGGGCATCATTATTTCTCGATTTAATGTATACACGAGAAGTACGTTCAAACCGGCTATTAAAATCCGTAGATCCAACATAAAGAACGAACCTGTTGGCGAACCAGAATAAAGACTTGTCAACCAGATTTGGAACACAAGAACTATTGCACTCTGCAAAGTTTGTGTGAAAACAACAAGCTCGAGCTCAGAAACAATATAGAAGACATTATGAAGTCCATGCATGAGCAAGAGTAGGCCAGGTCGTTGATAAGGAGTAAGCTGGCAGACAAGCTTTTCGCGTGAAAAGTGTAAGGGAAGAGTAAAGTCAGTGCTTGAGGCATTTTAGGTCAAAAAATATAAGTACTTGGATCAAGTTAACACTGGTTAAAATGTTAGCAAAATCCACAATACCATAACTAAGAACACTCTTAATAAGAGCAAATACCATCGATACAAAAAGATGTAAGTCGATACAGGTGAAAATCCTCGATAGCATTCATGCAAAGTTACAAAAACTTGATCACAATACAATGTGTACAAAATGAAGCTAATCACTTGAACAATGTCGCCCATAAAGACAAATATAAATGACTACCACTGGTAATCTCAATTGACATCGATACAAGAAAAGTGAAACGAAAAAATATCCACATCAGTTGAGAAATTTGCTAAGTGTCTATATGACATAGACAATTGTCTCTTTTGTTTTGTCCTATGTGCCGCATGAACTACTGAGATGATACCTACGACAGTCTTTGAATCTTCAGCAACAGCAACCACTCATGAATGTACGAAATTACTAACACATTATGAACCACAGAACTTGACACGAAAGGGAACGAATAGAGTAGAGACCCGGGAAGTACAACCGCATGGCCTCCAGATATGGCATAATTAGATATATTGTAGCTGACAGAACAATAAAGAACAGAAGAGAAGCATTGCGGAGCATTCTGCTGAAATGATCAACGAAGTCAATGGACTACGAAACGCAGAAAACTGATTGGGAGTTGCGGAAAAGGGAAGCAGACAATCACAATACATAGATGTGAGTAAAAGCGAAGTGTAAGAGAGGAAAATCGAATATGGTTGAAGCACAATAAGTGAAGTGTCCAATTGAGATAACACGTAATTCAACCACAAGGGCTTAATAAGCCCTTATGGATTAAGGAATATTAAGCAAACCAAAGAGTGAAATGTACAAGTAATTTAATCCATTCTCACCTGTTCCTCTACCGTCAAAACTTTTGGATGGTCATAAGTTTTCGCCTCGATCTGATTGACCTGAATTATCAGAACAAAACTCATTATTGAAATATCCAATACCATACATAACCCTATACTGTACTTTTCAGCCCGAATGAGCGAAGAACTTAAAATGGAGCCGAAATCAAGTATGGGCTTCAAAGCCCAGCCGAAATCAAATGAGGTCAAAGAGAGTGTAGGCAAGTTCAATCTCTGTGGAGGCCTTTTACATTCTCGCTATCCACAAGAACACATAAGATCACATTACACTGGCAACAGCTCCTAAAGCACTCGTTCAGATGAAGGACACGGGAACCCATTTGCGCCAGCATTTCATACTACCTGCTCTCTTCACGCCTCTACGTTGGGGAGGGATCCAAATGACATAATCCAGAAATTGAAAACCAAGCGCCATATTGGTAGCTTTCAATCGGAAAAGAAGGAAATCCGTATCAGTTTCATTATACAGTGCACAAATTATGTAACAAAATTGACTCCGGAAATTTTTCTGTGAAAGGCTGTCAGGAAGGACAGCTAACGTGCCCACCAGAGTATGTTTTGAAATTTACCTCCAGAAATGCAAGCAACGATTCTTTCGTATGCGGGGATGCCATTCTCGCTGACTGCAAAGCTCAAACACTCTTGCTCGTAAGACGAAGACACTCCTTAGCACTTTCTAAGACTATGATGTAGAACAGCAGCTCAGCCTGCACTAGGGCTTCCAACTGGAGGTTTTCCAAATCCGCTACGTTTTGTACGTCACAGCAACGAGAGGGAGAGAAGAGAGTAGGTTAGTCGGCGTGATGAATTCTTCAAGTTTTGTAATGTTCTCTTTTTCTACACATGGAGTTTAGCCGAATCGCTTAATGTTTCCATAACTAAATAAATATTACTGAAATTATATAGGGAAATTAAAGAGGAAAAGCAACGACTTTTGTTCGTGTCAGACATTTCTGGAGAGCATGAAGCAACTTTGAATTGGTTGCATTTTGAGAAATGAATAGGAATGTTATTTCAAATTGGACAAGTTACATAAACGAAGTACAATTATGACATCACTGTTGTAGATAAGAATTGGGAGTTTTTGTTTAGTTTAGAGTTAAAAAATAAATAAAGAATTGGAGTGAATGAGGTTGTAAGATCACGATGCTTATGAAAGCTAAAGGTTTAAGAAAGTAAAATACGGTAGTAGACCATGTTGTGTGGAAGCAAGACATGGTGGATATTTATCTCTCACAATTCTTAAGCAAATCAAATCCAAAGTTGTTATTAGGGATGATAATTGGATTGACATATAAGATAATATTAAATACTTGTTCATATATATATATATATATATATATATATAAATCTAATGAAGAGATGCGCATAATCATAAGAAGATAGCTCAATTAGTATACTGAGCGCTCAACACTTGAACGCTAATTATTACTTATTAAAGCTCTGATGGAAGTGCTGAAAGCTAGAGTCTTTGAAGTACAAAAAGTTTTTGGCTCGATTTTACTGTAGTTTGTCTTGATGTACTTTGGTGATGACTTCAACAGTTTTTTGCACATTTTGAGAATATAAAAATCATATGTAAATATATTTTGGTTGGTATATAGTATATTAATATGTCCCATGTTACAATTTGAATGATATAACATTAAAACGAACACGTTTTTTTGTAAGTGTATCAACAAAATAATTGAAACTTAAGTAAACTTCTACAAGCTCATCATGATATCATTTGAAAATAATGTACAAAGTGATACTTCACAAATTTTAGCTCTGCATATGAATGGAATATTGACTTCTTTGCTACGTCAAATTCACTACAACTCTCAGAACACATGAGAATGTTTTCCTGATTAAGTTTGAGTTCTTTTGACAATCCTTGTACCCAACTTCTTCCCTGCAAGCTTATGTGGCTGGCATGTATCTTTCTTTCATTTTCCATAGAGCAGCCATTATAAAATCTGGCAATTTATTTTTAGATGCCAGATTTGCCAAAATTAATCTGGCCAAAGTGCCATATGTTATAAGACGGCAGACCACGTGAGCTCCAGCGCATAGTTGCCAAGCATTTGTACAGTCAAAGGCGAAATTATCAAAGGGAAAGAGGGAATTAGGACAGGATATTTCATGAGCTCCAGCGCATAGTTGCCAAGCATTTGTACAGTCAAAGGCGAAATTATCAAGGGAAAGAGGGAATTAGGATAGGAGATTTCGACGAGGTCGGTCATGAACTGCTTCATGGCAAAAAGTAAAAGCGTGCGTGCGCACGAGACAGAGCCCGAGAGTCCGGACAAATCGAGAGTGCAAATGCATAAAAAATTTAAGTAAAGTAAAATAATGTGATCGGACATTGTGAGACAGTCTGGGTATTTCGGGACCTAAAAAAAATGACAACCGCAGCAACCTCACAAGCTTTTCCTTCATTCATGCAAATTTAATGCTCAGAACGATTATCGCAAATCCACCATGTGATGAAAAAAGGTGAAATGAAAATATTTATGCCAGAAATGCGATTTTTATTTGATTAGTATTCATTGATGTAAGAAACTTGTATTTTTAATCTACCAATTCATCTTTGTTTAAGCAACTAACTATCAAAAATATTTTTCTAGTAATATTTTTCGTTCATTTTGTCACCCGGGTGTAGAATTGCAAAGTTTGAAGAACAACCGAGTTGATTTCACTCTAATCAGAACACATATTTGAAGTTCTATGGGAATTATAAGAATAGGGCTATCTCAATTGCAAGTGCAAGAATTAGGATGAAAAATTAATTTAATTCTGGCAAACCTGGCATTTGCCAAAATTTATAGCCACAAATGTCTGCAGATTTGAAAGCGGCTTGCAGCTCCTTTGCAAGAAAAAATACATAGCAAGTAGTGGATTTGTTCTTATCGAAATTCACTGCAAAAGTCAGAAGTAACAGAACTCTTGATAGTTCAATATGATGCTCCCGAATATCATACTAAATTGCGGTTACTATGATGTATTTTACAACTTATCTCACAACATTTCAATGTTCTCCATTTATGTTCACCATATATCGACTGACCACTTCCACTGCTTGTGTAGTAATTGATTCTATGCATAACTTGGCAAACTTTAAACCTCCCATTACATATGCATATGGTGCTCAAGACGTAGTCATTACCTCAAAATCATTTCCAGGACACATGTATAAGGATAAATTGAGGTTAGCAAGAAATGGAGAGAAAATTGGCTTACTTTATTGTATTTTAAGCGCTTCAATAATCTTAAAGGTAAGATGATTTTGAAAAAGATATAAGAAAACTGTCATTTTGATAGGTTGAATTCTTATCTTCATATTCCTTAACACCTTATCGATAACGTTTTGAAAAGAAATGAACAAAATTTGTATTGACATGTCATTGCAGGAATGGCCTAGAAATAATGCGGTCTGGATGTCACTCCTAGGATCTAGGGTGGAACATGAACATAGTTTATTTCTCGATATATGAGTAATTTGAAGGGAAAAAACCCAATGGTCTGTAGAAAGCAAATGTATACAGAAGTTGTAAGCGTCAAGCCCATTCGGAGCTTTAGTTCATGTAATTGATATTGTTGGGGTATTTCCATCCTTTCTAATGTATCGCTTGGGCCCCCATTGAATTTTGAAAGATAGCAATGATGTAAAAATCTATGAAGAATGAGATGAATTACACAGTGTATTACAAAGTTCCTTCTCTTGGTTTGAAACTCGCCTGTGAATAGGGGGGCACTAAAGGTAAGACTGGACGGTTACAGAATAATCTAAGGCACAATTTACGGTTTACGACGGAGACAGGCAGCTAGCCAAGGTGTCCGATTTGTGCACAATGGAGTGACGTTGTGACTCAGGTGAAGACGCGGAACATGGAAGATGGCGTTGTTACTATGGTGCACTGACCGTTTCCCATACACTATGGTTTTGTGCGGTCTTATCACCGTGTAAACCTTTGATCAAGAAACTGGAGACTTGTTCACAGTAATGACTGGCATATCATGCACTTCTCATTGACGGGCGACTGAAATTGTCTGTCACCTTGACACTAGGTCACCTATGACCAGATCGAAATTTCTATTTGTACATGACTTGCATCCCAACCTGATCATCGGGCGATCTAATAATCGACAGTTGAATGAAGAGTCACAGCAGTTTGACTTGTAATCTCTCTTGTAGTTGACTCGTAAATTTGCCTCTGAAGGACATCACAATTCTGTAATTGAAGTGAGTGATATGCTCAGTGATTTACGAGCCAGATTATAAGGTTCTTCTCCGTGTCACGTTGGTCTCTCTGCTCTAGCCAGTAATCGATCGGGCGTACAAGGTTCAGAAATAGCATATGGAGATTTAGAGGACGGAAGTTCAACAGCTGAATTGTAGGAGCATGCCGTGGTTGCAAACAGAGGTCAATGGGGTCGGTCCTCCCCTCTTTCACTCGACCAGGAGCGAACGATACGCTTTATGACAACGCAAAAGTTCGCCGACGTTCGCCAGTTCAGGTGAGGATCGTTGATCATTCGATTGCATTTTTTTTTTCATTTTTCAAGGAAGGAGTCTTCAAGAATTGCAGGGAACAGCACAATGCATGCCGATAACAGGGAAGAGTCTTTTCACTTTTCCGGGATATTGTTTAGAAACTGATGAAATTGAACAAAGACTTCTGTGGAAAGTTCGCCGCTGTTCGCCCGTTCATGTGAGGACTTTAAGTTGAAATGATATATGCAGGTGGCGCTCCAAACAGGGCTCTCATCTATCGGTGGAAAGAACTTCACATCATGCAGCATTGGAAAATTTATAGCTATTTTACTTTTCATGGGAATTTGCTACATTGCTGTGACGCATACGCCTCCTTCGAAGGCTCTTCTTCGTGGTTCTGAAAACCAAGGACTGGCCAAAGCACAGCTTAAGTCTCCCCCGGGAGAAATGTGGAGGAAAGCCAGGATTGCGAAGGATACATTATTTATGACAGGACAAGAGAGAGACGATTTGAAAAAAGGTGGGTTTCTCAATGAAACGGAAGTTACAGTGAAAGACCTGTTTCATGCTGAAGAACTAGTCTGGAGACAACGACAAGAAGAGGTGAAAACAGCTTTCAGACATGCATGGAAAGGTTACAAAGATTATGCAATGGGATATGATGAGCTGAAACCTCTGAGTAAGCGAGGGGTGGATGGACTTGGAGGACTCGGAGCTACTGTTATAGATGCTTTAGATACTGCTATCATTATGGACTGTGACGAAGTGGTGCAGGATGCCGCATATTGGATAGAGACCGAGCTTCCTGGTAAGCTTCAGGATAAGGGACAGGTGAATCTTTTTGAGACCACCATCCGGATCCTGGGTGGCCTTCTGAGCGCATACAATTTACTTGGTGGAGAAAAAGAGACTGCTCCCAAGTATGGTACAAATCCAAAAGTCTTCTTGGAAAGAGCAATCGATCTGGGAGACAGGCTTCATAGTGCATTTTCAATGAGTCCTTCTGATATTCCCTTCTCAGATGTTAATCTGAGGGAGAAGAGTGCCCATGCAGCTGGTTTCGATGGTGGAGCTAGTAGTACTGCAGAAGCAGCAACAGTGCAAATGGAGTTTTGGTATCTCAGCCATGTATCTGGTGATCCTAAATATGGCAAATCGGCGATGCGAGTATTTGAGCATATGAAAGGTCTACCAAAGGCTGAGGGTTTGGTACCAATATTTATCAGGTGTATATCTAGGCGAGCTTGTTGTTACGATTATAAGGGCCGCTAAAGTTCAGGTTGTTAGGTCGGAGGGATCACGTCGAATTGACTCTTTGAACCTTGCTTTTGCGTTGTTCCGATTCTATGGACTCATAGGGTACGTGGTTTTTTAAAGTGCAGTCGTCAGTTTTGGTTGGAAATGAAAACACAAGTTGACTGTTGAGGTTAAAAAGCAGGTTTCTTGGAGGTAATTATAACTTTTTGTTGATGGATTCCAGCCCAAAATCAGGAGAGTTTATCGGGAACAATATACGGTTGGGCTCTCGGGGTGACAGCTACTATGAGTACTTACTCAAAGTCTGGTTACAGCAAGGTGGTGCTGACTCTGAAGCGTCCGCAGTGACATACCTACGCGAAATGTATGAGGAAGCAATGTCCGGTGTCAAGCACCTTTTAGTCAAGAAGTCACAGCCCAAAGGTCTTGTCTTTGTTGGTGAACTTCCAAACGGGATCACAGGGAACTTCAGTCCGAAAATGGACCATCTGGTATTGACATAGCTACAGTGTCATTATCAATATCAGTGCTATATGTTAATTCGCGCTACCATCTCCATATCAATATCGCATATTTAGTTTTGAGAGTCCGCCTACATGAGAGAGTGTTTTTGACATTGGTCTTCTAAGCATCTTGTGTGGGTAGAAGAGTTGCAGACAACACAAAACAAGACTCCTAGATGTCATCCTTGACTTAAATAACCAACGGGTGACATGTAGACAGGAGCATGCTTTTCTGCTGACATGAGAAATTAGTTGACACTAAATCTGTTTTTTTTGTGTGCATACGTAGGTGTGCTTCTTGGCAGGAACACTAGCACTGGGTGCTACTCGGGGCATGACGAAAGATCAAGCTTTGCGCCAGGGTTTTATGAACGAGAGGGATCTACAAGATCTAAAGCTTGCAGAAGATTTGTGCCACACTTGTTACCAGATGTATGCTGTAACTGCAACAGGGCTGGCGCCGGAGATTGCTTATTTCAACTTGGATGTAAGCAGTAATCAAATCTCTGGAATTCTTAATCTAAGCATGCCGTTGTATTGTGTTTAAGAAGTCCCGTCTCGATGACAAGGTGTTATAGGCCGCAATTATAGACTGAAAAGTTTTCTAACTTGATCTTGTGTAAAGGAACAAGCACAGAACGGCATGGATGGTGGGAAAAAAGATGCTGAGTATGGAGTTGATATACAAATTCATCATCTTGATCGACATAATCTTCTGAGGCCGGAAACCGTCGAGTCTCTATTTGTGCTCTACCGGGTGACAGGAGAAATCAAGTAAGTGTCTATGCTCTTTGCCCCATACCTCTCTGAACTTATATGTAGTCCACATAGCTGGAAGCCCTACGACCACCATGAAGCTGCACAAGATTGGAACTTTGAAACTTACCTAACGGCTTATTTGTATGAAACGGAAGAAGGCGATCTGGTTAGTGCAGCTGGTTAGATAACGCTCAACCACTTTTTTTACCTTAGCTTCTTGTCATGGTGCCATTTCTGCTAAAATTGGTATGTGCAACTCTTCCAAGACATTCGTACTCGCCATTTGGAGTCATTAAGATATGTATGCACCAGCCTACGCATGCAGTGAAGTATGGGACACAAATGGGTTTGAAAGACACGTGTGGTACCCACAATCTCCTAGCTAAAAGCTTCAAATGCCAAGGATTAATTAGAAACGTGCAATAAAGAATAGAATAATTAAGAAAGTTCAAGTGAAAGTGGAAAGGTAGTACGTAGGCCGCACTGTTGAGTCAAACTTCACTTCTTATGTTCTGTCTGAACGTTTCTCATTCCTGGTGGGGAGATTGAGAGGGTGAAATCTATAGAAATCGCTGAATGTTGGGTAGATGACACTTGTCTTCTATCGGATGCTGTTTCTGTACTGGTAACGTTGAATGAGGTTTCCATCCCGTTACTGCAAGCTTTAGGAAGATTTAAGGTGAGATGTTTTTTCCGTCCTGACCTTGACATCCTGTGAATCAGACGCTTTCCTCCTTTCTCATCCATTACTCCCACATTATGATTCTGTCCAATGAGGAGTTAGACAAAGTAGGAAGAGTATGTGAGATCTACCGAACAGTTTGATTTGGAAACTCGTGGAAAGAGATGCTGGCTAGTTCGACACCATTATGGCTTGATGAAGTCATGGTGCTTACGTGGAGGATAATGGCTTTTGTCTGCTGATGTCCATGGACACCACAGCTTGTTGGTTAATACTTTGAGAATTTACACTTCCCTTTCATGAGGTGAATTCAGCCTCCTATAGGCCACCGGTTGGTTCTAATAATCTCGTTGTTGGGGGCTGGATTGTATGTTCGCGCTGTGGTCACTTGCTATTTCCATTCAGGTCTCATTATTCTGTATGCATGTTTAGATTGTGGTCACTCGGTGCTTTCTTGCCTTAAATTCATCTGTACCAAAACGTTGTCGAATGGAGACAATCTTCAGCCTGAATTACTATTTAGTGTATGTTAATACAACCCGCTCTGTCTCTCCAATAACCACCTCTGGGCGAAAGAGCATTTAATCAACCTCGATTCGAACATTCCAGTAGTAGATTCTACTACTATATAATTCTCTTCAGTGTGTATTATTCTATACACAACCTTTCGGTGTGAGGGCGCTACAGCCATCTTGCTAGTTTTTTCTACTATGCTATATCATTCTCACTTTGTACATTTTCATAGCAAGGTATCAATTCTTCGATTGGTTTCATTGGACATACCCTTGGTAGTACATACTGTTTCCATGTTTGGTTGACTCCTCACCTGTTCATCCTTCTCACTGTTATCTACACTCTCGGCTCTGTTGGTCTTATTTCTGGTCATAATGCACTATAGCTTCATAGTTTGACAGTGTCAGGCATTGTTTGACATAGGTCGTAGCGACAGCGATGGATGTGTCTTTGGGACTAGAAGCCCAGCTTACGTTGGGCTTCGAGTTATTCGCCGCCCGCGCGCAGTCCAGCGCAGATTCGTAAGGACCTCGGTATCTAATGATAGTGCAGCATGGCTTAGGTTACAGGAATCTGACGCTTCCAGTTTGAGTACTGTTGCTGTTCAATGGGTACCTTTCTTGTATCGGACTTGCTGTTCCATACTGCTGTCTTAGCTTTCACACCTTCTCGCCCTCTACTTGTTTCTAGATGATCGGATAATCTAATTTGCTTAGTGCTCGATCCTCGTAGCATAGTCTTTCGCTTTCAGTTGCATCGGTTTGTTGTCTATGGAAGATATTCCCACGTGTGGTCCTTACTTTGGCCCATACATTTTACAGTTGTGTTCATTCATGTTCTTGGTATTTTTCATAGTTTTCATTATTACTTTGCTGTCACCGGAAAGCTATCTCACTTTGTCCCGAGCTGTTTGGTCCCCATGCATGTTAGCCCTTGCGATTGATCATGTAATGTGTTATCTATTCGATGATGTACTCTGGTGCGGGAGAGTTGTAGATCAATCCTGCCTCGAAGATACGCAATATATTTCATCCTTAGCTAAACTTACACTTGCCTTCGTCCTCCCGGGCTTGTTTGTCTTGCTGAACAATGACGTCCCTTCCGAGGATGAAAATATTAGTTTCCTCTTTCCGTGTCTTTTATCTTGGATGTAAATATATCTATATTAACACCTGACTGTTGCACTTCATACTCATTTAATAGTTTGCTATTTTTCCAAGAAAAATTGGGAAAACTCATGTCACGTTGTAGTTATGTGCTTTTGATTATAGAGTGGCTAGCCTTTAGGTGATGGAAGTCTGTGTAGGAAGCCCACGCTTGTCCGCTCGCCTTTGCCTGATAGCCCGCAGATGCATTAGGTGATGCAATATCGCCATTGCGCGATATCGGGCAGGGTTGTATGTACCTTGGTACGCACTTGGAAACGCCGCCGAGTTTTCTGTCATGGCAAAGTGATGCTTGGCATTCAGCTGTCCCTGAGGTCGGCTCAAATTTACCGCGAAGGCTTAAACCGCAGCTTTGATGTTTTCATCCCGTGCCGGCGCAGATCGAATGCATTTTCTGTCATCTTGTTGATGCTCGCTGCTGCTTGTCAAATAGTGCTACTTGTTGGTCCTTATCTTCGATTATAGGACATATGATTCGAGAATTTGTCAGCAGACTGTTTGGTCTGTTTGCGTTCTTTCCCTCGAATGTTCACCCCTTGCAGTAGATCACGTGCATTTGTGGATACTATCCAAGTGGTATCAGACCCCAAGAGAAACCAGAGGGTGCACTTGCCATAAAGTAATTCAAAGCTCCCCTTTGCTGCAGGTATCGAGAGTGGGGTTGGAGCATTTTTCAAGCATTTGAGGCTCACACTAAGGTCAGTACCGGAGGCTACACTTCACTGGAAAGTGTGACGAGTGTTCCAGCTAAACAGAGAGATAAAATGGAAACTTTTTTCCTCGGCGAAACTTTGAAGTATTTGTATCTATTGTTTAGTGACCGCAGCGTTCTACCTTTAGATAAGTACGTCTTTAACACTGAAGCACATCCGCTGCCAATTATAGTACCTACGTCTGGAAATGTTCGAAGGAACAAACAAACGTTTAGCTCCAAAGCAAAGGCCACCTCAAGCTGATTGCCAATTTTACAGCTAAGCGTATGGAGATTACTCGCATTGCCTGCAGGAAAGGATGTGTGCCAATAGGTACAATGAGTTGAGATCTTTATTATGTAGAGTGGAGCGGAGTATTATAATAAAGAACTTCGTTTTGAGTTCAATTTTGGATCGTAGCAACTTACAGCAATCTGGATCTGATGGGCTGGTAAGCTGATGTTAAGGCGACATATTCCATAGGCTATCACGAGTGGCCAAGTTTTTGGACCCGAGACAAAGTTCTGCAAGGTCAACGGCTGTACATGCAAGGAAGTTACAAATGAAGAAAGAAAATATCTGTGACTAACCATATGATAGTTCGAGGAGAAAATAATTATTTACATACTTTTTTGTATTCGAAATATTCATCCTTTGTTGACCCTTAGCCCAATTGGACTTGCCACTTTCTGAGCTCGACCTTCACATATCTCCAATCACGCCTGATCCCATAGCGCCATCAGCTCGCCACTCACACAGCAATCCATCTACCGTATTCTGAAGCTTTGAGACAACGGTATTCTCTACCTGAGCACAGATTCCAGGGAAGAATCTCAAAATGTCAATCTTCGATCTAGTCTTCACTCTGTTTTGAGCGTGATATTTACATTCTTGCACCTAGTTGCTTATTCCCAGGACACTGAGGTACTCTTTTTTCCCACTTCTACTTAAACTTCCTTAAATACACACACTTTTTTCGGAAATTTTCATATCAATACTAAAGAGCTTGTTTTTTTAATCAAAAGTCATTGTATACCCACAGATGACATCCTTGGTCCAGCAAAATGATATGATCACAAAATGCATGATCAGGGTTTACAACCATAACATACTTATAAGATGCATAACTAGAATCTACACCAAAGTTACTCACTAAACAAGAGAGTTAGATCTTCAAACATACATGATTCTAAAGAGAAAAAATACTTGTTGTGGATTTAATTTGAAAAACATTAGTAAAATCTAGTGTTATAGAAACGTAGCCACATTATGATTCTATTTAGAAACCTTTGGAAAATCTGTAATGGAGGATTAGATGGAGGATTTGTGTCAACAATATTGGTCACAGATAGTTAGATCATTTAGATCTGGAGATGTCTTTAAACCACTACAAAGTAACTTATGTACTTAATCATGAAAAATTGAATCTAATTCTTGATTAGTAGATATATGAGACGAGATAGTTGACATGCAATTGGGGGGGTTAAAAAATAGAATAAGAAAATATTACACTAATTTTCATAATAATATTTCTTATATATATTTGCACATATTTTCTTTATAAATATAATGTTGTGATTTTTTTTCCAGCTTTTAATTTGCAAGAATATTCGTATCCAAGATTATATATATATATATATATATAATTAAATTTTCCAAATTATAAGTCGCAAGAAGTAGTACTTATTATTATGGATAAGTTTTCTCATCAATTCGCCTCTACTTTTTTACAATTGATCAAAATGATACAAGATGCACATGTAATAAGATGCGCCCCTAATACTTTTAGTTTGAAAGATAGAATTTATCACCATTTGAAGATATCTTGGTAGAAAATTTCAGATACCTTCATTCAGACACCAAAATAAATCGTAAATACAATTTACGGCATCCAAGATCTTGCAAAGTAACTTATGTTATTTCTTTGTTAAACCATTCGTGTTTGAATTAAAGTGGTCGTCTTGCAACGTTTAGCTTGCAAGAATTGAGTCAATTTCATTATTTATATCACAGGTGCAACTTTTAAGTGTAACTATGATATAAAGTATAAATGTACAATATGACTTAGGATGAACATTATCTCATTTTCCAGCTGATACGGTGACAATTTATCTACAAACATCATGCATTACTTTGCAGTCAGAGCTTTTGCTAATTATATGGTTCACTCATATCTAAAAAATCCATATATTGTGTTTACTTGTACTCCGTTTTATAAAACAAATAGTTCGGAAACTCATCATTAATTACAATTTCTGGAATAAATCTGCTTTCTCTACTAGATACATAAGTGTGTAGCAAAAATACATGTTCTACAAGTTTAACACTTAAAATGTTATAGTTTATCTAAAATCATGAAGATAAAATTAGGAAAATCAGATGAATTCAAAACTGCTAGATGTATATTGATGCATGATTACAACAAGATTTATAGAGATCTATGCATTAGTGCAAAGTGTTGTTAAGTGGATATAAAAATCATATCCCATCAAGAATTGTCAAAACTTTCAAATGCTATAATCCACTCTTTCACTTCTGCATTTGGAAGTGTTGTTCACGCCAAGAAGTACCTGGTTCATCTTTAGCTACATCCAAAAAAACATCAGGGTTTAATAAAAAATTTGAAAACAATGTTTGAGGCAAGCTACATTTCGCCAAGTTATATTGTCAGGAGTATAATTTACTAAGACCTGGTTATTTGGGTTAGTTAACTTGAATCTTCACTAACAATCTACTTGTTAATTCATGTCATTGGGACAATATACTATGGAGTATATTGTTCTGATGTAATACTTCTTGTAGAGTAACTATATAATTGTAATAACAGACAAATACCAAAATGGAGCATAATGGTATAGATCCGATCCCACGAGTACAGAGACAAACACAAAAGTCACGATTTGTCACAAGATATCATTCTATTACGAAGTTTTACTTCTTAGGCCAATGCTACTCCCAGAAGACAATACTCAGCCAGAGCCGAAGACTCAGAAGGTAGTGCAAAACCGTACTCAGAACCTGAAACTTTCCAAACACAACCTGCAAGAATCGCAAGCGATCTCACACTTATATTTTAGGGGGAAACTTCCCAGCACTGCATACATCTCAAAACACTGACCCGAATACATAGACCCGAACTTGCTTAAATCCCGCAGTAACCCCATGCTACCCAAGACATTCAGGACAAATATTCACAACTCCTATCGCGGTAACTTCGACAAACAGGAGCGCGCCGTGCTCGATGTCTAGATCACACACCAGTACAGGGACACACAGCGAAGAGAGAATGACAGTTGAGACAAGTCAATTGACAGAAAAGCCCCCCAAGGAAAGAGCCTTGGGCCTTTTTATTCACAATGGCAACTCTAGAATATCAACCGCCTGAGTCGAATCGGCCTCAAGGGCTGTGCCGTCCGATGTAACGGTTACAGCATCGTCTGAACTACTCTCTACTCCTAATCTACGCAACACGTTTACAATCTCAACTTCTACATTCTGGCGCGCCTCATTCAATTCCTCTGAAAATGAATTAACTAACTCTACAATTTGTTTGTGTCTTGCGAATCCACTGGACTTCGCGCTCATCAGCCGTCGCTCGAGCAGATCCAGTTTGAACCACTTCACCGAATCCAATCCCCACATCGCAAATCCGTTTAGGCACTATTCTAACCGCAATCTCAACACGTCGGTTGAATCCTCCCGCAGCTGACAATAGACATCCTCATCTCATCCTCATCTCCTCTCTTCCGATCTCATCTCCGACTTCCCTAATTGCTTTCGTAACCGTCGACAGTCAGATTCAACCTTTAATCTACATTCGACCTCCGAAGACTTGGCCGACTCATACTCTGCCAATTTCTTGGCCCAATCCTTCAACTCAACTTCATGCTTCTGATTTCCTGCCGACAGAATTGCTGATAGCTCCTCCGCACGTCGGAGTTCAGTTTCACACTTCGACTCAATCTCTGAAATTTGCCTACGAAGATCTTCCTCCGCCGTCTTCGTACCTGCGAGCTTGCGCCGAAGTTCGTCGGCGATGCGAGCTTCTTCGGCTCTTCGGACTTCCAGCTGAGCAAGGTTTTCAATATGCTTCTTCTCTCGCTTCTCCGCTGTCGCGATCAATCGCTCCGCCCTTTTGACTGTTGCATCGTAGGCTTCCCTCGATTTCTTTACCCTCGACATCAAATCCACTGTTACCTTCTGGGCATTCTCATTAGAGGTACGAAGTCCTCCGCATGTCTCTTCCAACTCTGCACAACGTCTTGATTCCTTCTTCAGATTCAGCTGCCGCACTTCACACTCAGTTTCCTTCTCCCGAAGCTGGGCTTCTCGCTCCCGCAATGTCGCCTTCACTGCCGCGCACTCGGTTGACAAGGTTGTGGCTCGCTCCCGTGCCAATGCAGTCGTGGAATCTCACTCCCTCTTTACTGCAACTGCTCTCTTGAGCTTCGTTCTGTTCCTAATCATCTGAACGTAGAATCCTGGCTCCTTCGATACAGCATACTTCTTTCTCTTCCCGTCCAAGTACTTCAATAATGGTACCACACTATCCTGCAAGAATTCAGGAAATGTAACTTCCAATGTTTTCACCTCTTCGCCCGAAGTCTTCTTTCCTTCTTCGAGTCTCACCTCTTCCACATGAGACGTCGGCAGTGTAGTGCCCTCGGCTTCCACCACCGTTCCTCCTACCCTTGCGACAACTTGTTCCAGAATCTCCTTGCTCATAGTAAACTCCTTCTCAAGGTCCTCGTTCATCTTCATCTGGGGTGTCCTTTCGCCTTGCGCAGACCGTGTCCGCTCCGAAGACAAAGAAATCGGACTTACCAATTCCGTTCCCTCGTTCAAAGGTTCTGCCGGTATATCTGCCGGATCTTCAATTGACGCCTCCGAAGGTACCCCTAACTCCACAGATCGCATTACCTCGCTATTTGCGACTTCGGATGTGTTGACAATTGGTGCCACCGTCTTCTTCACACTGCTATCTGACACCTCAACTGTCACCATCCTCCGTTTTGCCCTCTTCTTTGATCTTGCGCGAGCTCTATGCTGTCTGGCTCCACTCACTTCCATACCCACCCTTCTTACCGTGTGGGCCAATTCTTCCTCATCATCGCTTACGACCTTCCTCTTCTTTGTCACTCGCCTCTCTGGCTGCTCCTACCTTGGAACCACGTCCACCTGCACTGGTCCTCGAGCGGTAGTGTGTGTCGGAATTGCGGGAGATCGGTTCTCGTCTTCGGTCCCTTCACTGGACTCCATTGTAAAGCTCTCTCGCTCCCTCGGAAATCGCTTTTTCTCCTCCCTCGTAAGCAATCCCATTCCTCGATAGAAATGCACCAGAAAGGGGGTAAGATGGTTGGTCATTGATCCCGTCCATCGACCAAACGCATTTAC